ACATTTATGTTTGCCATTGTCAGTAGGCCAACTTACTTGGCGTGAGCATGCAAGTTTATCTTATCTTTCACATATCTTCAGTACAAAACATTGCAATGCCTAAAGATACTACCACAATGTCGATAGTCTGTGTTAGATTTATTGGAGTGTTTTGGGAAAGTGAAAACATTACGGTCTTCTATCATCCAATTCATATATGTGCGCGCAAGAGCGAATAGCAGCTGCGTTCTCTCAGAAAGGTTTTGCTCCGCACATGGTACAGTTAGTCTATTTGTTCATATGACGTTGTAACGTAATAGCCAATATCCGTGATAAAAATTATAAGTCAATGCACTTAACTTTATTTTTTAGTAAAATGACATTACAACTAATTGATTGTCTTTTGTGTCAGACGCCAATGGCCGCAAGCTTGCAACCATGTATCGTTTTTTACAATCCAGAGAGCTGTTATTATATCCCTGGGAATACGATATACGCGCATTTAGTGTACATACACTGTGAGCATGAATATATGCGGTTTTTATGTAACGGGATATTATTTTCCACCGAATAACGATGACGGGTTAAATACTGTTTTATATTCCAAATGTGAGTTCGACTACAACGTTTCACTAAGAGGCAGAAGCATCAATGTTGGTAGCTATGATAGACGTTACCGATACCGACACACCTATAGCATGGTGATTTTATGATACAGGTTCAAATAATGATGAAAACCGGTATATCTAAAAATATAAAATAATTATACACTTTGCAAGGCTCAACAACGTTATAAAAACCGTTTTACAGCCCGCATGCACGACTATTGCATGCAAGCCCTTGCAGAAACAAGTTATTGTTTTGTCTGTAAGACAGTTGCATCCAATCACTCACGTTTTCCCGATTCAAATGTTGGCAAACCTAAATGAATGAAATTTTTCTTGTCTATGATTTTGGTTTTGGTTTTCTACCCTGCAGAAGACATGGTTTTAATATTTAATATCTGCAAACAATTAAATACATTGGTAACTTGTAAGTTACTATTTATTCCGCCAGAATTGCAGACGAACCTGCATAAAAATCCAACTGATTGATATTAATCCAAGAGTTATTACCTGCAAACCTATAAAACGTCAAAATATGTTGCCTGGATAGTTCCTAGTATAGTATATTCCCCGTTTGCTCGCTATGAGCGCTGTGAACGACATTAAAACCAACCATCTTTGGAAGAATGACTCAACGACATGACACGCTCAATGACCATGCTGCAAGCTGCAAGTCAAACCTTCGTCATGCTTTGTTGGTTGCAGAATGCCAAGATTGTAGAATGTAGAGTAGATAGAAGATGTGTAGTTGAGTAGCAGAGTAGCAAGGTCACATGTGGATGATTGTGTGCATTGGTCTGCATGTGTGTAAAATATATTAATAATATTTGCTATGTGAAAAAGTTATTACTGAATTATACCTATTAGCTGTGCCAGATGGCTTATTTGTGTTGTCATGTCTGAAGAGAGGTTATGTACGGGAAATCAGGACCACACCCGCGTTGTTTAATTAAGCCACAACACAGAAAAAATAGGAAGTCCGCGTCACATACAAAACACTTTCGCACTGCCTCACATCTACTTGACATAGTGAAATAAATTTCTATAAAATCTAAATGGCTGGGAATAAAAATTAATGTGAAATGTAATAACTTGTTTACGTTTCATAAATATTCCTGTGTGTACTATATATTCTCACCTGTTAGTTTTAATATACCCAATCAGAATTTTTTTTATCGCTCTCTTCTTTGAAATTCAGCAAATCCGCATATTTAATTTCCAATGGAATAAACAACTACCGCATATTAATATTTCGCCAAACGTGTTACTACCGTAGGGGTGTTATCTAAAAAATCTATATAACGTCATGAAAAATCGGTATGTTAGCTTGTGCCCTAAGCAGTCGGTAGCCCATTCCGCACCTACCCGCTATGAGCTCTACCTATGAAGGAATGACATAAAGAAAATTTCCGGCATTCCAGCAATAATATAGAACATATTGCTTAGGTGATAGAAACTAGGAATGGCTCCCACGGGTCCCATCTCTGAGGCAGATGTCACATAACATCAGATCCAAACCATATAGTTCCAGTGTATGACGCAACACGCACAGCAACCACAAACAGTTCCCTTAACGACATACCGGCGTATGTGTAAGAAAATCTAAAATTGAGTTACGCCGTCAGATAGTATAACTTTAGTGCGCCTTTCATGTGACAAGCCGACTTACCTGTATTCCTGCTATATTTTCCAAATAACACAATTAACGATTTGACGTATTTGAATAAATGCTTATTGCAATAGATTCCAAGTATTGGAAAATATCAACGAAGTAACCTTCCCACATCTCCCTAGCCGCCCTCAAACAATTTCTCCTATGTTCATCAGATGACAAATACTGGACCTTCCTCTACAGCATTTAGTGCAAATAAAAAACGTAAAGCTCAATCACCCCCCATAAATTTTCCGACAGAGAAACATTTTTTTAGTGCAGGACCTCCTAATCCAGTAACTTCAAGTAGGATCGATCAGTCGAATATTTCAGAAAAAAAAGAAATAGTTGACATAGTTTCAAAAATTTTGTTTGAACTTGTAAACAAATCCGAAAACTTAGGTGATCTTAAGAAAATCAGTAATAATACATTGAAAAACGAAATACATTGCATAATAGATAAGTTAATAAATTCCTCTTAGCGTCTTCAATAATACCGATAATGTGCTAAAGGTGATGCAGTGGAATGCACGTTCCGCTGTGTCCAATCGAAACAGTTTGAATATGTTCCTTTCAAAAAATGATATTGACGTAGCCCTAGTAAGCGAAACTTGGTTCAAGCCAAACGATACTATCAGATATCATGGCTACAATATTGTGAGGAGGGACAGAATTGATGGCAAAGCTGGTGTAGCCATTTTTGTGAAAAAAGGTATAAAATTTTGTGAAATATCATTTTCGAATAATTTTAATGATGATATACTTGTATGCGGGATAAATCTTATTAACCAAACATTTGATTTAACTTTGTTGTCTATATACAGGCCCCCGAACATCAATTCAACAGCTGGTGATTGGGACACAATCTTCTCTAATACCAGCATATCTTCTATTATTGGTGGAGACTTTAATGCACACTCTCATCTCTGGGGATCCTCATTTAATAATTCCATAGGTTATCAGTTAATAAATATATGCGAATCAAAGAATTTAGTCGTTATGAACGATGGTTCGCCTACTAGGCTTGTAGCTCCAAATCAGCAGGTAACTGCTCCAGATGTTACAATCTGCTCCCGAGATATTGCACAAATAAGTCATTGGCAACTTACTTCTGATACATTAGGTTCGGACCATTTTCCTATTCTTATGTTTATTCCTCTATCTTTCCAAGTATATGACACAATCTATCCTAAGTATAAGTGGAATATGAAAAAAGCCAATTGGTGTTTGTATCATGACTTATTGGAAGATATTTTCGATTCTACTCCAGAATTTTACTCCACTCAAAGTAAATAGATTATCTCATTGAAAAGATCAATGATGTTAGCGAGATCTCCATCCCTATACTAAGGCCATTTAAAGCTAAGAAACGGCCACCCCCTCCTTGGTGGGATGAACAGTGTATAAGTGCCATAGCACAAAGGACCTCAGCTTTAGCAACGTACAAACAGGACAGTTCTTTAGCCAACTTCGTCCACTGCAAGAAGGTATTTGCTGAAACAAAGAAACTCTTCAAACAAAAATCAAAAAATAGCTGGAAAGCATGGATATCTAAGTTGAATAAAAATACGTCATCAACCGATCTCTGGAAACAGGCTAAAATCATCAGAAGGATACCCATGGGAAAGAAAGCATCAACTAATTCTGATTGGGCAGACGACTTCCATAGAAAATGCTCTCCGTCCTTCGTGGCTGCAGAAGTCGAACCTCCCCCACGTTTACATCAAGACAACTTTTTCAGCAGACCTTTCAACATGACGGAACTAAATCTTGCAGTTAAAAATACCAGAAACACATCACCTGGCTGCGATGATATCACATATCCAATGCTCGTGAACCTCCCATCTAATGCAAAACTATTCCTTCTGGATATATTTAACAACATTTGGCTGAATGCAGACACAATTAGCCAATGGAAAAACATCGTTATAGTTCCAATTTTGAAGCCAAACATGGATCCCAATTGCGCTGACTCATATCGCCCGATATCTCTTTTATCCTGCGTCATGAAGACTTTTGAAAGATTGATCAAAAATCGCCTGGAATGGTGGTTTAGATCTCATCCACTTCCTAACAACCAATATGCCTTCAAGAAAGGAGTTGGAACAGCAGACGCTATTACGAATATTGTCACCGACATTCAGATGTGTTTCACGCGAAACAACTACTTAGCAGGCATCTTCATAGACATTACAGGTGCATATGACAACATCAATTTAAACATACTTCGAAACAAACTGGAAAAATTTGGCATCCCACCTCACTTTAGTTTTACTGTAACAAACCTATACCGTGATAGGAATATTTTTCTACGCAACGACAGTGGCGGAAAGATTGGACCACGACTAGTACAGGAAGGTATCCCACAGGGCGCAGTTTTAAGCCCAATTTTATTCAATATCTTTTCGGCAGACTTACATGATGTGCAAACCCCATGTCAGCTGGTGCAGTATGCAGACGATATTTGTGTATATATAGAGAACCGTCAACTTAATCAATGTATATCTACGCTAAATTCTTCAATGGAACACTACAAACAGTGGCTAATGGAACATGGTTTCGACATATCGTTGAAAAAATCATCCTTTTGCGTTTTCTCACGACACAATGTATCATTACAGAGGAACATACTACTGGGAGGGTTATCCTTCAAAGTTGAAACTTCTGTCAAATATCTCGGCGTAATCCTTGACAAAAAGCTCACATGGAAGCCGTGTATCGAACAAGTAGTCAGTAGATGTGAGAAAGCCTTCAATTTTTTCCAGATGATCTGCAAGGTATGGTGGGGCTCCGATCAAAAGATCGCAATATTATTCTTCAGATCATATGTTAGATCTATCCTTGATTATGGCAGCATATTCTATGGCTCTGCCAGTAAAAATCTCCTTCATGTGCTAGATATAACTCAGAATAAATTTCTCAGGAAATGTCTTGGAGCAATGCAATCGTCACCAGTCGGACCTTTGCGAGCAGAAGCACAGGAGCCTCCTTTACATCTTCGAAGGCAAATGTTATCTAGCAGATTTCTACTTAAGGTACAACACGCGGACAGCCACTTACTGAGCAAAATTCATCGTCTAAACACCATGGACTTGACATGCAAATATTGGACCAAAAGAAACTCCCCGCCTCTATGCAGCGCCATACAATATGCCAACAGAATACAACCAACCTCTCATAGCCAACGATTGATCCAAGATATAAGTTACTTTCATTTACTATCAGGATTTGATATTAGAGTACCAGCTTACAAGCAACAACCACACCACATTCAGAACCTACTTCGAGAAGTGCAGAGTAAATTAGCAGGTGATGCATTCATTTACACCGATGCATCGAAGTCGGCGACAGGAACGGGATGCGCTCATTATATTCCTTCAATAGATATTTTTTCCATGTTTAAACTACCAAATGAATTCACGATTTTTTCTGCAGAAGCTATTGCTATATTCCAAGCCCTACAGTTTGTAGAGGACCACAATCTTGGTAACACGTCTATATTCTCGGACTCCCTCTCTGTTGTCAGTAGTTTAAAAAACGGCAGTCCTTTCGATATGCAAAATATACACTTATTCAACATAAGATGGAAAATAAGTCAGCTAAAACAACGAGGCCTCAGGATTACACTAGTTTGGGTGAAGGCCCACTCTGGGATAATACACAACGAAAAAGCTGACGATCTAGCAAATATGAGTATAACATCTTAAACTAAGCTGGACATACCCTTAAGCGTGCAAGACAATCGAGTGATACTTAAAGGTAATTTGCTCAAGCGATGGCGCAGTGAATGGATAGAATAGTGTTTTACTAATCCTACAAGATACAACCTCATACACCCTAGCCTGCCACGAGGATACTGGCACGAAAATTTCAAAATACCCAGAAAATATATTTCTTGCATCACCCGTGCGAAAATAGGACATGGTGTTTTTCCATCACACCTTGCAAGATTAAATTTGGTCCCATCTGCACTGTGCGATGTTTGTGAAGTTTATGGTGACTTGGATCACTGTTTCTTTGGTTGCGCTAAATTCCTGGATCACTGCAATGCACTCTACTCCGATTTGGTGAAATCTGGCATATCTGCCCCCCTAAATACATCTCATGTATTTTCGCTAGGTAGATCTGATGTGATCATTCTCGTTGTTAAATTTATCAGAAATTCTGGCATCAAAATATAACAATCGTATTTTAGTTATCCTCTGTTTTTTGTACCTTTATGTATAAATATATCCTTCATATCCGTGGCCTAATTGTTGTATGTGAAAAATGAAAAATGCCCTGACGGGTCCCTGGGCGAGAAGAACGTGTGTCCCTGTCTGACCCATCCTCTCTCCTACCCCTTAGAGTTGCATAGGTTTAATATGTAGTTATGGTGTTCTTTAGACACTAATGTCATCTGAAAATTTGTGTGTAATGTTTAACCCCCGCCCCCTCCTGATAACACTTTCTTAGTTCTTCTATATTTACTTTTTTGTTTTTCATCCAGAGTGGAGAGTGTGCTTTAGAAGAAATTTAATAATCAATTTCTCCCTACTGTTTGTTAAGTACTTGCTCCTTCGCCCAAATACGACTGTGTCACCAAAATGTCTTTCCTGCAATACCCTGACAGCTGAGGGGATCTGCTTGCTACGTCATTGCCATTTTACACGTCTTAAATTATATATGTGTGTATGATGTAATAGATAAATACTTGATTCTGGCTAATGGGGCAATGTCCTAGTGCCAAAAAAAAAAAAAAAAAAAATTAAAAAATAAATGCTTATTCATACATGGCATACAGGCGTAAGAACACATACGTCGCTCTGTCTTATATGCCGAGTTCCGAATAGATTTTAAAGTTTGTGGCGTATCTACAAATCAGCTTTATTAGCATTTCGGCTGCATGGCATTAAATATCTTTAACCAGATCTTTCTTTAAGAAAAGTGTTTGACGTGTTCCTTCAGGATCTTAAACTTGAAGGATATAACAAAATTTCGAGTTATTCTTTATACATAAAGGTTTTTAATAGGCAAAACTTATCCTTTTTTAGTCCAAAGAACGATGTGATATTCATATCTCAGAATTGCTAAGAAACAAGCTAAACAAAACAGTAGTATTCTTTGTGGTGTTTTTGATATTATTTGCCAATAATAAAGGAGGACACAATTTTTTACAAGAGAAGAATTTCAAATTTTAATTTGATCTTTTACAACTTAGCTAGCAAATAGTGTTAATCTTTTATTTGGTACGAATCAGTTAGCAGGCGCGATTCATCAGAAATTGTTTCTTGTCTTTTTAAAGTTTTAGAGGACTACAACCAAAAACAAAACGTAACAATCATTGAATTATTTGCTGATGGATGCTACGCACAGAACAAACATTCAATCATAGATACCATGTTGTTATTCTGGCTCCATAAAGTTTCCTCTATAAAAAAGACTCATATGAAACACTTTGAAACGAACCATGGCTAAAGCGAAGCTGATTCTGCACATAGTGACATTTCATCAGCTTTACATTTTTGCACCTTCATAATTACAATCAGTTATAATTTTAGCACGCATGAAACAAACCTATAAAGTAATCAGTATGAGCTATGACGATTTCAAGACTGTCTAGAGATCTTTGAGTTTCAGGTATAAGTGAAACGGACTGCGACAACAAAATAAATTGAACTAACGTAATGGAAATCATGGTTGGAAGATCGTCTCCAATGAATATTTTTTTTTAATTTGCCTTACGCGTATACTATCCGATATAGGTACTTCGAATTAGTCTCCAAAAATAGAAAGATCTCGTGGCGTTGTGCAGTGGAGCTACCATTGTAGTTAAAGAGACAGAATGCTAGGCCTATTATAGGTACCTACTTCATCATGACACTTTAATAATTATAGTTAAGCTATATATATTATATAATAATTACATGATGGTGTCAAATAAATTTAGTTTTTCATTGGATTTACCCAGTACTGCTAAAAAGGTTAAAGTTTACTTGTTTTTGCTTGTCATATACGATTCATAAAAAAAGTAAATTACCTTGCATGCAATGAGTACCCTTAATTAAATCCCTCCGTCTACATCTGTTTTCCTATATCAAGTTACATTTTATTCCAAATATAATCTCCTTACTTAATGGCGTACGTAATAATTCTTCGTAAAGAATCTATGACAAAATGACGTAACTGACTTATGTGTAAAAAAAACAAAAAAACTGGATAGCTGTTTTATCAAAGCGACTATTCAATTTGAACTGTTATGTCTGTTAAATTATTAAGTCAAAATTGTGAAAACATCAGAATTTGAACAGCGCAGCGGTGCTATAGCAAAATTAACTTTTAGATTCAGTTTTTTTTCTCCGGTAAAATTTATAAATTGTTAGATACGCCGGCCACGTCATAAAGGGGACGAAATTAATATGAAGGGAATTACAGCTAAATCCGAGGTGATATTGTTTTGGAAAACCTGCATAATGTCAAAGTTACATACGGTTACATACAGCGAAATTTTTCTCTTGGCTATGGATGTTGTGATTGTCCGTAGATGGTAGACGGTCTCTGACTGTCGAACGCGGAGGTACTACCCGGCGGATCTGGTAGGCGGAGCCAGAATGTGTGCATGTTGCATGCACACGTGTTCTCTCGCCAGAGTCCGTGTGGCGTCCCCCCTTTTCGCTGTATCCCCCTATAGCCCCACGGTACCCAATGGGTGTTTAGGCCTTAGGCCTTCGTGGTAGTTGGAGTATAAAAAAAAGACATAAAGGGCTTACATGTCCGTCAGTCCACTAACATGAAAAGTATCTGAGAGGTAATCAAGGTATACTCGTAAGGAATTGGTTCAGTTACCTCAGTTCATTCAAGTTCTATAAGCTATCACTGAACTTATATGTATTCAAAAGGCCATATAAATTCAAACCTTTTGGCACTTGCATACAAGTTAGACATGCGTACAAGGAGAGAAAGTAGGTCAAGAAGACGAAATATCTGTTGTCAACTAGGTATAAGATTCGCAAAGGAACGTTCGATTTCAAGATCTACCAAAATCCTTTTTAATCCATTCATTCGATCCAGAACTCTTAATCTATCCCTTAGACAAGTGTAGTGATCTAAGCAGAAGCAGTGCAAAGGAAAGGCGACTGAAATAGCCAGGGATGTGCCAACACTACATTTTCTTTGTATGGCGTGGGTGTCCATTAATTTATCAATTTAAATTATATCTGAATCAAAATGCGTTTACAGTCCCGGGGCTCTCCACAACTCCAGAATTACTTTTTCAAGAACAATTCAGTAACGATGAGGGGTAGAACACTATGTAAAATTTTTTCAAAACATTTCATTCTGCAAGCGCGAGGAGGTTTCAAAATTCTGGTAAGAACAACTTTACCCTTTTTACTTATGTATTCTTCACCGGCAAACAATTTACATTTCTGAACACTACACGCCCATTCACTGGCATTAACAATACGTTTTTTACCTATTTGAGTAGTCTTAGACTTATTTTTAACGTTCTGTTTAATAGACTCTGCTTCTTACAAAGCGTACGTGATTATCTGCAGAATTTTCATTATCACTGCTCAAACATAAATCTTCTTTAAGTAACTGATGTCCATTTGAGTTTATCTTAGCACTGGCTTTATTTTTTCTAAACTGATTTTGTTTTCGATGGCGTATAGGCGAATCATAACGAGAATCTGTTCCAGAACTTGTAGGTTCATAATTTTTGTCCATATCAAAATAATCATTATCTTCATTAAAGCTCAAGTCATCTATAACATTCACTCTCCATTCCAACATCTTTGCTGTTTGTATGATTTGATTCTGAAACGAAACAGGCTTTATAATACTATTTGTAAAAGATAAATGATGAAGTTTAGGTTCATAAGAAAATATTACATACACTTTCTTGTTTACTATTAATCTAAAAATAATGTTCAAAGGGGCAGCTTGCCTATTAATGCGGTAGACGAATTTGCAGAACTTTTCAGCATTTCAAGAATCTTTCTCCCACGAGAATAATAGCTCATTATTCTTACTAATAGTAACAAACCACAAATGTTATGACTTAGAATACACTGAACTATGTGAACGCGTCAGAAATGTCAAAAATATTCTTAATTCACTAACGATTCACCGGACTACATAGAGGTATCCAGTAGCAATTCACATGATGTAGAGGGACAAAACACCAAGTCCATATGGTGTTATATCCCTCTAAGTAAAAGTGGTCTTGGTGTTCTTTTTTAAGAAGTTATCTCCGTTAGTAAATGAGTTTGAACTTAGTGTCATCAGAATGTCATTTTTGAAAAAAAAAAATTCTATACCTCCCTTCAAGGTATAGAATTTTACTTTTCAAGTTATTTACTCTGTAGCCAACCGAGATTGGTTGACTCTTAATGGAACTGCTGAAAATGTTCTATTTGGCGCGAATTGCGATCACCTTCTCATAGCTAGGTGCTCGAGAAGATACTTTGGAGTAGTTTTCCAAATCAGGTTCCTAACTAGCGGCTTTCTGGTTTTGCGGTATTTTGAGTTCAGCAAACAATATGAACATTGTTGTCTTCTATACAGGGTGTCCCGAAAAAAGTGTGCAATATTCTACCAGCCGTTTCTAGAGCTTAAAATAGGAAGAAAAGTTTATATAAACATAGGTCGACAAACGTCCCTTAAGGGTGCTACGGTCTTTTAAAGGGGCTCCCCTGAAGATGATTTTTCCTTAATATTTCCGAAACGTGTTGAGATAAAGACATATTATTTGGTATTCTAGCCTAGCTGTTTATGCTGGATTTAAAAATATTAACAATTTTAGACAGTTTTGTTTGGAAGCGTATGTAACAGGGGCGGACTCAGGTTATTTTAACCCCAAAATTTTTGTGTGAATCTATTTTTGAAACTCAATTTTAGAATTTGAAAATTTAGGGTTTTCTACATAAAAAAGGTACTCTTATTGAACATCGATAAATTGTGCCATTTTTGAATAAAATCAAACTAAAAAATTTGTCACATGATACGAAATGTACTGCCAATTTAAATAAATTGTTGAATAATTAGCCATGGCAACGAAAAAACTAAATTTAATAACTGGTAAAATTACATAAATACATATTTCTATTGCAACATAAACATTTAGGCAAAAACAAAAGAAATACATCTTTTTTACGAACGAAATTGAAATTTGTTTAAAAATGAAGACAGACAGTTGGATATACGTAAAACTAGCTTTACAATAAGTGTTCAAATAAATTCCCATTTTATTGGATACAAAGTCTCGCTCGATGAATTAATGATTGCGTAGCCCAAAAAGTGGAAAACCTTTTTCTTCTTATTTCATTTGCAGCCTGATAGAGTCGTTGAAGTAAATCTTCTTGAGTATTTACATCAGTTGAGTAAACTAGGTCTTCTAATGACCCCCAAAAATGGAAATCCAAAGGATTTAGGTTAGGTGAACGTGGCTGCCACGCTATAGGACCTCCTCGGCCTAACCACCTGTCTGGAAAATTGACATTCAACCAATTTCGAACATTGCGTCCAAAATGTGCAGACGCGCCATCATGTTGAAAAAACATATTTTCTTAAAACTGCTGGCGCACATCCAATGGTATTATATCTGTGAGCTCATTCTCAAGAAAGTTCAGATACACCTCTGAATTAAGACGATTGGGAAGTACAATAGGCCCAATTACTTGATCCCCAATTACTCCTGCCCATAAGTTCAATGAAAATCTATGTTGGAAATTTGTACGGCGAACAACTTTTGGATTTTCATCTGACCAGTGATGCATGTTATGGAAATTAAACGCACCATTCCTAGTAAATATTAACTCATCCGACCATAATATTCTAGGAATAGTGTTTTCATTTGCTAATATCCACTGGCAAAACTCGATTCGTGGTAAAAAATCTGCCTCCATTACATGCTGGACCCGTTTAAAATGACAAGGATCCTTGCATACTTGTCATTCTTCCTATCTAACATTATAATTTTTAGGATAACTATCAAATAGGTATTCATAAATTTTTTTTAACGATTGATCGAGGTATATCCATAATTTCTGAAACATTTCGTATGCTTATTTGCGGATTATTTTCAAACATATTCAAAGCAATATCCATACGATGATTTCCCAGTGCCCTTCCTGAGTGCTGAAAACTTCCATGTTTTGACAAATTCCGGTGAATATCAGTAAACATTCGACGTCCAGGTACTATGCGATTGGGAAATCTTCTTTGATAATCTCTTACGGTTGCTAATGAACTGCCATTGCAAAACCCGTACACAAAATGCATGTCAGTCAGTTCTCTGTCTGTAAATCTGTGGCATTTTAAATCGATTTAATAAAAATTTTGATTTAAATCTAGTAATTTTACACTGCTAACGATGTCAGCTTAACGTCAAAATAAGTCATAACGAATCAAAACAGCTTTTGTTTGCAGTCATGGCTAACTATGTATAATCAACAATTCATTTAAATTCGCAGTACATTTCCTATCATGTGACAAATTGTTTAGTTTGATTTTATTCAAAAACGGCATAATTTATCGATATTCAATAAGAGTATCTTTTTTATGTAGAGAACCTTAAATTTTCAAATTCTAAAATTGAATTTCAAAAATAGAATGACACAAAAATTTTTGGGGCTAAAATAACCTGAGTCCTTCTTTGTTAGATACGCTTCCAAACAAAACTGTCTAAAATTAATAAT